TGAAGTGTGCAGGATCCGCTGCTTGTTAGGAAGAAAGACGGAGAGCGAGAGAGAGAGAGAGAATGATCTAGACAAAGAGAGGAAGGAGAAGGCGACGCCGGGAAGAAGAAGATATCTGACCTAATTTTTATATTTGATTTGGAAAAAAACAAAAAAAACACGAAGTATAACCCGGCTATACTATTAATTTCAGGAAAAATAATTAAAAGTGGAGTATAACCGTTCGGCTGTACTCTTTTAATATGGGTTTAGATATGCAATTATGAAGATCAATTAATTTGAGATGTTGCTCATGCATTACCGTTCCCAAGTGATGACATTGCTTTTTTAAGTGAAAAGACATCATTGCTTTTCTAAGAGAGAAGAAGAAAGCAGAAGAATCTGATCTCTTTGTATTAGTTTGAAGTCCAATACGTACCCAACCCAATTCATTCAGTCAATTAATTTTGTAAAAGAAAGGATACATCATCCATATTCAAAAACAAACATTCCAAAGTGTGTTAAACGGTGGGCTAATATTTAATTGTAGGGTATTTTTTTTTATATACCTTTAAGATTAAGTTGGAAAATCAGCCCTGGGCCATAGCCTAGCTGAGCCCCTCTGTAGTTCTGCCTTTGAGACGCATAAAAAACTTCATGCATATTAATAAAAAAATGTCATATTCACGCTCTAAGAAAAATAATAGGATCCATAAAAAGCTTCATACACACGCATAAAAAGTGCTTTTTTGTTTTTGTTTTTGAGCTTCCATAGTTTATTTTGACCATCAAACAAACAACCATCGAGCTTCACTGGATTATTGTTAAATAAAAAGGTACAATAGATGAAGACAGAAGAAAAACCCTCAACATGTAGATATGAAGACATTAAATGCATTGTTGCATAACAAAACACATCTCGCTTCAGAATAACAAAAAGTTCAGAGTGGCTCCAAAATGTTCATGCCGCTGACTTCGTCCCAAGGAACACATCAGTGAGGACTGTTTTTGACTCTAAAGATGCCTTGAGCAATTTCAAACCCTAATGAAGAAAACACAAAAACAAGTTAGAATTATGCATTTTAGCATTGGTGCTTTCTCTGAGCAAATTATAAGATGAAATGAGAGAAGCATATTCAAATGATCAAACCTCTTGCAGGCCAAGCTGAACCACCCTCTCTTCAAGGGCTCCAACATCCTTCACATTGAACTTGTTAAGCATGGCAATGCTTGAAATGGTAGACATAGGCTGCACTTCCAAATCATCCATGATCATATATGTAACAACACCTTTCACATACCCTCCCTCGCTTGACAAAATTGTATCTCGTGTAGACGTTGCTGTTGGTGGAGCAACGTAAGTCATCTGCTTGGACATTGTTCTTCCGCACTTTGGACAAAGGGCTCCAACGTCATCCGAAACATACCGTACCGCGTGCTGCTGTTTCGGTCACATGGTACGAATGGAAAGAGGATGATGGGTGATTGCAATCACAGTAGTAAAATTTCTTAGCTTCTGAATCAGATTTATTGTTGGTCAACAAATGGAAGATATTAGCTCCAGCAACAGCTGACTTGGGCCTGAGCAGGGTGTTCTTGTTGAGATTAGGTTGCAAGTATGTGTAGCTAAGATTTTCAAGGCTTGCGTAGAGCTTGCCTAAGCAACCAACCATGCCATCCCCAGAGAGGAGCCTAATGACGGTGCCAACATGAAAAGACAGCAAAGAGAAGAAAAAATCAACAACTTCTTTGCTCACTTCAGCAAACAAAATTGTGTGGCTCTTAGAGTCTATTAGGAGCTTCAAGCTCACACAAACGTTGGAGGTTGCTGCCATATAGAACTAGTGATGAGGAAGACAGGGGAACTATACGGCTATATATTCCTTATATAATAATTGTATGCCAATGTTATTTTTGTATTGCCTAATTATAGCTGTTAATTGAAGCACTCAAACGTACGTTGCCTTTATTGCAATGAAACTCAGTATGGTGTATCATAGTACAGGGCATTGTGCCAATGAAACTCAACATTGGAACTTGGTCTTCATCAACATGCATCTTGAACTTGATCTCTATTCTCTTCTCTCACCCTTTGAGGAATTTAGGGAGCCACTTAGCAGACTCTTTGGGAATGCGTGTGAGATTGTTTTTGTAATCGATGTAGTAAAGCTCGAATCTTAAGGTATAGCCATCACCCCATTCATAGTCATCAAACAGAGCCCAGTGGAAATATCCTTTCAAGTTCACTCCATTCTTCATTGCCCTGTTTATCCAGTACAAATGCCTCAGATTATTTTCAATTCTATGTGGATCCTTCAGTGCAGCATCAAGTCCAAGTTTATTATCCTTTGGCTCAGTAATTCCATTTTCAGTAATGTAGATTATCGGATTCCGATAATTTTTATTCAAGAACTCCAACAGTTTCTTCACACCTTGTGGATAAATAATGTAGAGGATCGAGTTTCCTTCAGCCTAAGGACCAATAGGATCTCCGGTTTTGTTTTCGGTCAGTGTTGAAGCTAAAGGATCGTTGCGGTAGCAGAAGCTCTGTCTTCTGCGGATTCTGAGTAAGGCTCAACATACCGTCCTACAAGACTAATTCCACTTTGTCCACCTTGTTTCTCTTGAAACTTCTCTCTGTAAAGCTCAACAACAGTGGCATGGGCTGGGAGAAGGTTATGGCTCACAGTGTAAGGTTCAGTGGCTGAATTGCCGGCGCTATGCAAAGAAGCCCTGCTGAAATAGAACACCTTCCCGGCGCAGCAATTCCAAAGTCATATCCAAATTTGGCGATATTCAACTGCTCGTTGATTGTGATCCAATTTTTGACCCTATCTCCGAATGTTCTTAAACAGATTTCAGTGTAAGCCTTGAAATCATCCACAAAAGAACGGTTCAAAGGGCCTAAGTACTTGTCTTCGAAACCTTGTGGTAGGTCAAAGTGCAATAAGATCACATAGGGTGTGATCCCATTATCGACTAATTCATCAATAAGGCTGCTGCAGTGATCAATGAACCCAGTCTAGCCGCGCGGCTATACTGTTTGAATACGATATATTTAAGACATAGCCGAGGTTTAATATATCATATTTAAATAGTATAGCCTCTCGGCTGTACTATTAATTGGAATAAAAATTTAAAAAACAGAGTATAGCCGGTCGGCTACACTATTAATTTAGGAAAAAATAAAAAAGGGAGTATAGGCGCGCGGCTATACTCATTTAATATAAATATACAAAACCAGGCCAAATTGTTTGAGTTCAATTCTAAAATATAAGCAGTAGCTGCATTTGATATGATGTGAAATTAAAGTTAAAATGCAATCGTAGAGAAACGGCTGCACTCAGATGGCCCTTTGTGTCAATCAGGAGGATAGGCTTTGACAATTCATCAGTTTCTTCAGATGTTTTGAATCAGTATATATAGATGAGCTTGATTTCTTCAACCTCCCTCAGTACAAAATTGGCCTCCTTATTTGTTCTGGATCAACGGTAAAGTTGAATGATTGTTGCGATGGCGGATGAGTTTTCTTGAGATATAATGAATGAAACTAATAGAATCAATGGACTAAAGTTTACATGATCCAGAGTAATAGAATAGAAATCCCAATCCACAAACCAAAATGAAACCCCAAAAGCTCAATATCACTAGAGGACCAAAGTTGAAAAGTTTGTGCTGTTTCTTTCCAAGGAAGACATTGGTAAGAG